CTAAAAGGGGAGCTTGGCTCAGAGAAGAGCAGCTCCAGCTGGAGCGCCCCAAAACCGGACCAAATCCCCGAATTGCTTGCGCAATCATCGCGCGGTGCGCCGCCATGCCTCTTGTCAATGTGCGTGTGCACCAAGCCAAACACGCCTGTATTCACGCTTGGCACAACCAAACCAACCAGACCCAACCTGTCGAGACAATTTCGCCCAGGTCTGCGGTGCGGAGTGCGCGCGACGCCTCAAGGGCCACGCGCAGAATCAGTTCCGCTCCGCGGCAAGCTTTGCTGTCGCTTGCGGCGGGGGGGGAGGATGGCCTGCCTGCCTGTCGGGAATGCCACCCCCAGGGCCGCCTCCCTTCGTCACGGCCACGTCAAACCTGCGCGGAACTGCGCAGCCCTGGCGGCTCTTCCAGCTCAGCGCCAATGCGAAATGAGTAAATCAGCCGCCCGTGTCACACAACCAGCAGTCACCCTTGCACTGTAGTCCGAATGCACGTAGCAGAGCCTCTCCACCGTTTTGCACCGCTAGGCAGCGCTGGACTATACCTGGCTACTGTAACATCAAAACCTCGAACCTCGCTTCGCTAGCTATCACCACACCATCACGAGACGCATCACAGCGGCTCACTTCTCCAGACACGCGTTTCACCTCACCAAGCTCAACTGATTTTTGCTCTCACGCAATTTCGGGCCTCGACAAAACTATCACAGCGGATTGTCAGTACACATCAATCAACATCATCCTCAGCTGCTGCTGGAGCACGCCTACTCAGGTCACGGAGAGAATGATTCACGTCACGTCAACCTTACGGCAAGCTGTATTCCGTCTGACCACCGCTTCTTCTTCTGAATTGGAAAGCGGCGCGCCAGAATTTTCGTGAAGCCATGAGAGAGAGAAATACTTGTCTGATTGCCCAACCGTGTAGAAACAGCTCGACGGACATACAGATTTCAGCAAAGGTCGTCGATTTTCCGTTTCTTAGAATTCTCAAAAACACTTGGAGACGCAGGACCGATCGAACGTAGAGCTAGAAACGATCGACTCGAGTGGGTCTGGCGGTACGAGACCTCTCCACTCGCTCGTCTGCCACTCACCCTCGCTCTCGATCTCTTCCATTTCCGGAGTTTATTCCAGACTCTAGTATTTGCGGGTGACGGCCTTTTTTTTTGTCTACTGCGAGATTTTTCCGCAACCGACTCTCACACCGCTCCATTGTATTTCAACCGGTTTACACGACTGCTTTCCGGTTGTCCGCCACTTCATGCGATGTTCGACGTGCGTCTTCGCGGAAAAAGCGAACGGGCATTCCCTCTACCGCCCTCCGGCGATTATGCCACAGCCAATGGAAGCAGCGATTCCGAAAGCAGCAACGCTCTGATTGGCGGCCGCTACCGGCGCTTGCGAGCGATCGGCCACGGCTCGCATGGCAGCGTGTGGGAGTGCGAGGACGTCCGCACGTCCCTCCGCGTCGCGTGCAAATCCATTCCACACCATCGACGGCCCTCCGTCCCCTCCGGCGATGTTCCCGCCGGGGTTCCCGCCGCGAGAGGCGGCGCATCTGGCGCGCGACACGCTCCTCCGCATGCGCAGGTGCATGAGGTCTGTACTGAGGTATCCGCGTTAAAGACTGTCGGCGGACATCCGAACGTGGTGCGACTCGTCGACGTGGTTGTTGGCTCCGCCGAGGCGCACCTCGTTATGGAGCTCGCGTCGGGTGGGGATCTCCTAACGGAGCTCATGCACCGCGGTCCACTGGACGCGCCGCTGGCTGCTACAGTGTTCCGGCAGCTCGCATCGGCTGTCGCTTTCTGCCACGCGTGTGGCGTCATGCACCGCGACATCAAACCCGACAACGTGCTGCTCGTGCGCCCGCCGCCGCCTCCGCCGGCGGCGCCGCATCCACTGTCCGCGCGGACGCCGCGGGGGATGACGTCAGCGGAGGGAAGAATGTGAACCTGCGGCGGCAGAGTTACGAGCGGAACTCCGAGAGGGGGTGGCGCGCGGAAGGTTCTCGGGAGCAAGTGGGGAGAGGGAGTTTGGGGAAAGCGGGAGGTTTGGAGAGGAGTGCGGGAGGTTCGGAGGGGAGAGGGCGCAAGGGGAGAGGTTTAAGAGGCGCGTGCCGGGAAATGCGGTGCGGGCTTTCGGCGTCAGAACCAACCAGGCTTTGACGAGCGACGGCAGCGGCTGTAGCAGCAGCAGTGGCAGTAACAGCGATAGCGGTTGTAGCAGCGGCAGCGGTTGTGGCAACAGCAAGTGGGAAAGGAGCAGCAGCAGCGGTTCCAGCACCGGTGGCGAGACGTGCGCTTTCCCTGGCAGCGATTCGGCCGTATCAGCACACAGCAGTCCTTCGCGCGACGGTCACAATCACAAGGACTCCTTATATCGAAGAGACGTTATATCGGAGCCCTCCTCTCCCGTTCGATCCAGGCGATCCCCGTCCCCTCCGAACGGGCAGCGAGTAAACCGCCGCTGCAGCAGCGGGGTAAACATCGCAATTACCTCGGAAAATACGAGCAGTTACACGGGTACCAGCAGTACTAGCAGTGGCAGCAGCGGCAGCAGCAGCGGTAGCTGCGGTAGCAGCAACTTAGTGAATGCTGCCAAATCAAAAGCTCGTAGCCTGCAAAGCTGCACCCCTACACACCACCCTGGCTCAGAGCGGCAAATTCTAGGGGTCAAGATAGCCGATTTCGGGGTAGCAGCGCTGATGCGCGGAGGGTTGTCCGCCCAGCGGCAAGACATGGGGGCGGGCACGCGCGTGTACATGGCGCCTGAGATCACGAGATTGTCTGAATTGATGCGACGCGAGAGCTGGAGACCTGAATTGGCGGAGGCGGCAGGGGGAGCTGAAACTGGGAAGTATGGCTTTAAGGCTGATGTTTGGAGCATGGGAATGACTCTCTGCACGATGCTCACTGCGCGAATTCCAACCGTTCCTTTGGATTTTGATCATCCGGCGTGGGGAGGGGTGCCGGCACAGGCGATGGATCTGGTCCGTCGGATGCTTGTGGTGGACCCGGATCAACGGCTGAGCTCGTTCGAGGTGCTGGAGCATCCGTGGCTGAACCAGACGGCCGTTCGATCGTTGGACCCGGCTGTGCGCTGCCCCCACCTGCTCTCGCCCTCCCTGCCTGGCGAACCCACTGGTAACCAGGTTACACGGATCGTCTGCATGTAGCTGTTGTGGCTGGCAGGGCATTCAGCAGTGTAGTCAGGTCCTAAAACTGTAGCAGGGACGCTGAGACTCCAGCAAGTGCAGCAGCAGGATGTTGTAGCAGGGGCATAAGGAAAAGAATGCAGGGGTATGAGTGAAAGATTGCAGCAAGGGCAGCAGGTAAAGGCAACAAGGTCAGTCCTTATAATCCGTAGGAGGTGCAGCCGTTTCACTAACCAAGCCACACCAAGCCAATCCGAGCCAAACCAGTCCACACCAAGCCAGACCGAGCCATGCCGGGCCATATCTTGGAGGGTATGCTACAGCGGTAGCAACACTCATTCTTGCCTCGGGCAGGTCTGCTACAGTGCCGCAGTTTTGATCCAGGCGAGCTGCCTTGGAGCTGCACTCAGTAAAAAATATGGGGTTTATAGGCGGTAGGGGGTCCTTTCTGTATTGTAGGCATTCATTCAGTGGGAAAGTGAGTCTAATTTCCAGCTCTGCTGGAGTTTTGATCCAGGCGAGCTGCCTCTGGAGCTGCACTCAAGTGGGAGGGTGGGTTTAGTTGATAATAGTTGTATTGTACAGGAAGAGGCTGAGGTGAGGCGGCTGGGTTTTGACGTTTTTAGTGGGCAGTTCAGCTGCTTTGTATTGTATGGAGGGTTAAACTACAGTGGGCTTCTGTGTACAGAGGGAACCTATGCTGGCAATCATGATACGGATGGTATCATGACTCAGCCCTTGTGCAATTCATTAAGAAGTAAGAATACCGGCACTATTACCAGTACTGTATGTGCCTACAGATTCACAATCCCTTGCAGAAGCCATAGTGATCAAATTACAGACATTGCATTTGTCCGGTCCTACGATCGTATCTTCGTTTTCCGCTTGGGCAAAACTGCAGTACAATCACCTATGCACGCCACAATAAAGAAACAAGGAGTAAGATATGGGCAAAGGTACAGTAGGCAGTCCACTAGCAGAGGTACAGTAATCCTGTCCTGGCTGTTACTAAAAGGTCCCTTGTAAGGAGCGCCCTGTTATTGGAGCAAGGAGGAGGGTGGGGGAAGTGATGTACACCAAACCGCAACCGGAGTTAGGGTTTGCTGCACATCACCCACCCACCATCCCCTCGCCCAGTTATTTGTCCAGTGGACATTTCAAAGCATGTAATGTCAACCCACAAAGCCAGTCTTGCTGTTGACGCTGAAAGCCTTTCTGCTTCAGCAACTGCTGCTGATTTAGGGTTTGCCGCACACCACCCACCCACCATCCCATTCTTACTGTCATTTGTCCAGCGGACGTTTCAAAGCATGTACTGTTGACCTTCAAAGCCGGTCTTGCTGCCGACGCTGAAAGTCCTTCTGCTTCAGCAACTGCTGCTGATGTAGGGGTTGCCGCACAGCACACCACCCACCCACCCTCCCACCCACCATCCCACTCTTCCTGTCATTTGTCCAGCGGACGTTTCAAAGCATGTACTGTTGACCTTCAAAGCCTGTCTTGCTGCTGACGAATGCCTTTCTGCTTCAGCGACTGCTGCTGATTTAGGGTTTGCCGCACAACTCCCACCCACCATCCCCTCGCCCAGTTATTTGTCCAGTGGATGTTTCAAAGCATCTATGGTTGACCTTCAAAGCCTGTCTTGGTGCTGACGCTTAAAGTTTGTCCGGTGGACGTTCAACCGTCAACCCATGTATTGTTGACACTCATAGGCTGTCCTGCTGACGCTTAAAGCCGTTCTGCTCCAGCTTCTACTGTTGCCTCTGCTCCCCTTCGCTGTTGGCCCTGGCTCAGCCTTTAGGCTGCTTCTGCCACAGCCCCTTGGCTGCTCTCCCTGCTACAGCAGCTACATGCAGACGATCCGTGTAACCTGGTTACCAGTGGGTTCGCCAGGCAGGGAGGGCGAGAGAAGGTGGGGGCAGCGCACAGCCGGGTCCAACGATCGAACGGCCGTCTGGTTCAGCCACGGATGCTCCAGCACCTCGAACGAGCTCAGCCGTTGATCCGGGTCCACCACCAGCATCCGACGGACCAGATCCTTTGCGTCTGCCGAAACCCCCTCCCATTCAGGTTTTGAAAAGTCTACAGGATGGGAAGGAATCCGGGCAGTCAAAATTGTGCACAGTGTTACCCCGAGGCTCCACACGTCCGCCTTCACGCCGTACTCGGGCAGATCTGAAGAACTAGGGTTATTTACCCCTGCGTTCAGACCCTTTCCACCCCCATTCTCCTGGTTCCCCATCTCCCCCTCTGCTTCCCCGCGCCCGCCCCCCCGATTCCGCCAGCCCATTTCCGGCGCCATATACGCGGGCGTCCCTGCGCCTCTGCTGCGGCGGAGCTCGCGCATCCCCCCTTTCAGAATCGCGGAAACCCCGAAATCCGCGAGTTTCACCCCCACAATCTGCCGCTCCGCGCCCACGTAGTCTTCCGCCAACGGGGAGCTTCCGCCAAGGCTTGCGCTACGGGTCGCACCAAAGCTTCCGCAAAGGCGTGCGCCACCGCTTGCCCCGCGCGCGGAAGAGCCGCCGAGCGCGGAAAAAGCGCATGGAACGACGGAACCGCAAGAGGGGCTTGCGGATTTGCAGGGTCGCGGGCTTTTGTTGCACAAGGGGGAGGGGGGAGTGCAAGGGGAGGAGGGCGGGGAAGGTGGGGCACTCGCGGCGTTCGAGATCGAGAGAGTAGGGGAGGCAGCGGGGGAGGCAGCGGGGGAGGCAGCGGAACGTACGTTGGATTTAGTGGGGGAAGAAGGGAGCGACGTTGAACCGGACTTGGAAGGCGGGGAAGCAGGCGCGGCGGAAGCATCCTTTCCGCGCGACGGGAGCGCGCCCGTGCTCTGGCAGTTTGTCAATCCGAAGACGTTGGTTCGGTTCTGGAGAACCCTAACCGCGTGCCCCGGTGGGTGATTATGGTGGTGGTGATGGCTCCCGGTAGGATGCGACTTACCGCTGCTGCCGCCTCCGCCGCCGCCGCCGCCGCTGCTGCTGCTGCTGCTGCTGCTGCTGCACCCGCTGCTCCCGCGGTTGCTGGTGCTGCTACTCCCGCTGCTTTTGCTGCTATGGTCCCAAGCAGCTGCAAGCGCGACTGCCGCCGGCGGCGTCCGCGCGGGCGGCGGCGGCGGCGGCGGGCGCACGAGCAGCACGTTGTCGGGTTTAATGTCGCGATGCATGATGCCGCACGCGTGGCAGAACGCGACAGCCGATGCGAGTTGCCGCACCACTGTAGCAGCCAGCGGCTCGCTCAACGCACCACGCCGCATGAGTTCCGTTAGGAGATCCCCGCCTGGTGCTAACTCCATAATCACGTGCGCCTCGGCGGAGTCCACAATTACCTCGATTAAACCGACGATATTAATATGCCCCCCGACCTTCTTCAACGCGCAGACCTCCGTGCAGATGTCGTCAACGCGCACCGGAGCTTGCGCATGCGTCGAATCGCGCGGCACGTGCGGGATGGATTTGCAGGCGACGCGGAGGGACGTGTGGATGTCTTCGCACTCCCACACCGTGCCGTGCGATCCGCGCCCAATCAGCCGCACTCTGCGGTAGCGCCCGCCGATTAAGTCGCGAAGAAAGGATTCGGAGGATAGTTTTGGCCCAACCATGGTTACGGCTGTGAAGAGAAACCGGGAAACTGGCGACGCGGGAACTAGGAATCGGGTGAATCGAGATTCGGGAAACCGAGAGCTATTGACTAAGAGTCGCTGTAGAATTGACGACGAAAGATGGCTACAGAAGGTAGAATTCTGGTTTTAGAAGCCGCGAAGGAGACAAGAACGAGTCATAGTGCGGTGGGGTCTCTAGAGACGCAATAATAAGTGGAGGCTCGTAACCCGCGAACGATATTATTCTGGAGATTCTCTGGATGGCTCTGGTTTTCTGGGTCTGAACGAATCGAAGCTACGTCGCATAATTGACTGAACGGCAAGCATCGAGTTGAACGCAATCATCAGTCTAGTTTTGTGGGCTTTGTCTAGCAGCTGTCAAACCCAGTTGTCAAAATGGGCTGTCGCGGTGTGTGGAGGTAGTTCATGGCAGTACGGTTCGGCAAGGTGCTACACGTTTTACAATGTTTCACTGGTTAGTTTAACGGTTTGAAATGGTTTTTTTAGCGAAAGTGATGCCACACCCTCAGGTGTCAGGCTGGGCTGGCAGGGAACTTGCTTCAGCAAGATGACAGGCAGAGTCGGTTTGACTAGCACCAATCACCACGACGATTCTCCCGACGCGGGGAATCGCGATTCGCGAATCCCGACGACCAGCCAGCACGGTTGCCAACAACAACCAAGGTGAAGAATTAGAGGAGACAAGGTACAACGTGGTGCGGTGCAATAATTAGTGCTTATGAACGATACGAAGGAATGCCATTTACGGAAGCTGACGCTACCCATTCCGACCATTCTGATTTCCAAGCGAAGGAACAGAAGAAAGAGCAGCGAGTCGCGAGATGTGCTTGGCGGTGTGCTTGATGTTCGTCTTGATTCTCCCACTTCCACTGCCCGTCTACAGAAGAACCAAACCCATCAAACGAATTGAACAGCCAATCAGTCACCGGGTAACGAACCTGCTTATGGGCTTGGTCTGGCTGCGATTGGTTGACTCGAATGGAACGAAACCGCACGGCTGGCATCATGTGCTGCCGAGCCTCACCTTGTAGATGTGTACATATACGTCAGTGGTGTGTAACCGACAGCAGCAGAGCGCACTGAGTCAAGATGGACGTTTGGTAAGGGGAGCCGAAGCAGCGTGGTGTACAAGTCTCAGTAGTTTCTATTCGGTTCATAAAATATATATAGCGTTTCTGCGGGTATCATTTGGGTGAGGACGTCGTCCACACCGACGTCAGTGCTGTCAAAACCATATCCATTTTTTCAGGCAAACACCCAGGTTTGGTACGTCTGGTCTGGTTTCGGGGAGAACACGAGGTTCGGAGAAACGAATCTCGTGGACCGAAATGACTGAATTTGGTGGATTTCATTGAGACGGTGGCCACTGTCGTGTGGTGGTGGAGCTGCGGCTGGTTGGTTCACGCGCCAGCGTGGCGAACTCGTTATCGGCAGCAAACAGCTGTCGTCTGTTTTTGACGGAGGACAAACTGAATACCAATCACGTTCCGTGGTGGCTCCCAGACCAGGCAGACGGTGTGTGACTGCTGGGCTAGACGCCTACTGGTTCCCTGAGTGTGCGTGCAATGGGGCTGCCAGCCTGACTGACACACGTGGTTTCAGCACAAAAGTGGCTCGGTCAGTCGGCCGACGGCCATACATGGACGCCGTCGCCGAGCTGGCGGTGGCACAGTTCACGGTGTAACATCACAGTGCCACGTGTAGGTTGGATGTTGCAAGGTTCGTATCGAGTACACCAGGGTTGATGTTAAGATGGATTTACTGTTCATTCCGAACAGTACTTTCCAAATCACCCTTATCCTTATCTTCCTTGATTTCCTAGTGCCACGTGGCACTCTACTTTTCTTGTTTCAATTCCTAGTCCCACGAAGTACTTTCCGACATTCGATCTTGCATGCTATATCAACCTTGCTTGTACTTGCCATTATCAATCAATTCTCATTCAACTCTTCTTCAATTACTCAGTAACTTCTTCGCCTATTTCGCCAATAGTTCTTTCGCCAAAGTCTTCCGCCGCGTTTCATCCTCGACTTAGTCGACCCCGCTAATTCTTTAGCGGACTTAGGCCGTCGGGCATAACACTTGGTATCGAGAGCCTTCGCGGGGAGCGACTTCCAACGAGCGACCGTCGACGACGAGACTACGACGTCATCGTCCCGCGGTGCCGACTTGCAGACTTGGAGTCGTTGAGCGAATATGGACGAAACCATGCACGCTCTCCCCCACGACATGGGCAACACGCTTGCCGAACTCATGCGCCAACTTCAAGAGTTGACGTTGGAAAATCGTCAGCTACGAGCTGAAATGCAACAGCTTCGTGAATTGGCTTCTAACCCCCATGGTCATGCCGCACCAACTCTTGCGCCCAACACGTCGACTGGCGCGGAAGCGCTGCCGGAACGTCGAAGCGCACTCAAGCCGCAGAAACCCGAGTCGTTCGACCCAAGTCAACGCGACGCGAACGTGCGGACGTGGCTCTTCATGCTGAACAACTACTTCGCCGCGAGCGGGGTGCAAGAGGCGGACGCGCAGCAGCGGATCGAGTACGCCGTTACGCTGCTGAGGGGCCCGGCCTTGGAGTGGTGGCGCCAACTCACGCAAACTGCTGTAAGAAGGGCTCAGACAGACGGGCATCAACAGGGCGTGGGGCATGCAGCTGCAACTTCGAGCTTAGGGAGTTTAGCCTTGGGTGTTACCACGGTTCCGACCACATGGGAAGGATTTGAAGCGGCGCTGAAAAGTAGGTTCGATTTGGTGAACGCCTTAGAAGCTGCTAGGAAGCGTCTGCGTCATTTCCGACAGATAGGAAACGTCCAGGAGTACACACGACGGTTCTTGAGCATCTGCAACGAGACAGACGATATCACGGAAGAAGAGATGCGCGATCGCTACCTCGAGGGGTTGAAGCCGGACATAGCAGAAGTTATAGCGATTCATGGGTTGTCCACTTTCGAGTCAGTTGTCGCAACAGCAGAACTCGTCGACGCAGTACGAAGCCGACGGGGTCGTGACGATCGCGATAGGGGATACAACAGACCGATCAACGACGCTCGATCGAGGGACGGACCATCGCCCATGGAGATTGGTGCAGTTATTAGTGACGGCTCACAGAAAACGGGATTTAGAGGGAACTGTCACTGCTGCAAAAAGCCGGGACACATGAAGCGGGACTGCCCACAGCTTAAGGAGCGGCAGCAGGGAAACGGAAACCGCCAGTAGATAGCGGGTCGCTAGCTGGTGTGGAGGTTCCCGTACCCGCCACGTCTACCAACGTAGAGGAGACGGCTTTGCAGCAGTCATCTACGGAGAACGAGGTAGACTCTGTTGACCGACCAGTCGTGCTTCTAGGGAAGCTTCGCGGAGTTCCTGTTAAGATTCTCGTAGATAGCGGAGCTAGCCACTCGTTCGTGTCTTCATCGTTAGTCAGCCGCCTCCATCTCGAAGCAGATTCCGCAGTCAACTTCAAGGATGCTCGCATGGTAGATGGGACGCCTCTCCACATAGGACCGATCATTCGCAAGTTGCGCGTAGTGCTAGGACCAATCACGGTTAGGCGTGATTTCGATTCTGCAACGCTGGACGGTTACAACTTCATCTTCGGTAGAGATTGGTTGCGGACGGTCAGTACTCAGTTCGATTGGGCTCAGGGAAGCTGCAGCGTCAAGGTAGATGGCGAGTTCCGGGAGCTGCCACAGTGGAGCGATGCGGCCACATCCGCCGCAGCTATCATTAATGCTGTTCGTGTGCGACAGTTAGTGAAGCCTGCGGCGCGGATCTTCGCGGTTTTCCTTGAGGAGGTGGAAGCTGAGGAGGGGAAAGGAGGGAGCGCAGCAGTTGGCGATAAGACAACTCTTCCTGCTGAAGTGAGTGCACTCTTAGCGGAGTTTAGAGACGTCTTCCCCGACGAGTTGCCCCCAGGGTTACCTCCTAGCCGAGCAGTCGAGCATCGGATAGAGTTAGAGCCGGGGAGCAGGCCAGTAGCGAAGCCGCAGTGGAGGTTGAGTCCAGCAGAGACAGAGGAGATGACGCAGCAGGTTAGGCACTTTCTCGCGCAGGGTTTCATTCAGCCATCTAGATCGCCTTGGGCAACACCAATCATTTTCGCACCCAAGAAAGACGGAGGGTTACGGATGTGCATAGATTACCGCGCACTGAACGCCGCCACCGTCAAGAATAGGTTTCCAGTGCCGAGAGTAGAGGATCTCCTGGATGCGGTGCAGGGCGCTAGAGTCTTCTCAAAGATCGACCTTCGTTCGGGTTACCACCAGATTCGCGTAGTTCCAGAGGACCAGCACAAGACGGCGTTTCGTACGAAGCAGGGGTTGTACGAGTTTAGGGTTCTACCGTTCGGATTGACCAACGCCCCAGCGACGTTTCAGACGCTCATGAACACCGTCCTCTCCGATTTCCTAGGTTCGTTCGTTGTAGTTTACCTAGACGACATTCTCATATTCTCCAAGACGAAAGAGGAGCACGTGCAGCACTTGCAGAAGGTCTTCGAGGTTTTACGGAGGGAGCAGCTGTATGCTAAGCAGTCGAAGTGCGAGTTCTTCCTCTCCGAGGTCGAGTTTCTAGGTCACGTCGTATCCGCTAGCGGCATTAGGACCGACCCGAAGAAGATCGCAGCAGTACAGGACTGGATAGCTCCGACCTCAGTCAAGGAGTTGCAGAGCTTCCTCGGTTTCGCGAACTACTACCGTCGATTCGTTCAGGGTTACGCATCGATCGCTAGTCCACTCACCGACCTACTTCGGAAGGGCGTAGAGTACGTTTGGGGTCCAGCGCAGCAGCAGGCGTTTGAGCAGATGAAGCAGTCGCTCACGTCTTCACCGACACTGTCGTACCCTGATCCCACTCGCCCATACGTTGTAGTGACCGACGCTTCAGATCAGGCCATAGGAGCAGTGCTTCTTCAGGACCAGGGACGCGGGTTGCAGCCGATAGCATACGAGTCGCGTAAGCTTAGGGGAGCGGAGCTG